TGCCCAGGCGGGTCTCGAACCCATGGGCTCAGGCAATCTGCTCACCTCAGCCTCCCAAAGGCACGGGATTACAGGCTGAGCCACCGAGCCCCATATTAAGTAAATTTTACCTCAAAATAAAGAGACAACAACATTGTAAATCATCATCGTTTTTTATTTTTTATTTTTTTTTAGAGGCAGGGTCTTGTTCTGTTGCTCATGGCACTCACTGCAGCCTTGAACTCCTCGGTTCCCCAGTAGCTGGGACTACAGGCACACACCACCATGCCTGGTTAATTTTTTCATTTTTTGTAGAGTTGAAGTCTCACTATGTTCCCCAGGCTGGCATCATCTTCTGAATTGTGTATTTTCCCATTCATCAAACATTTGTCCCAAATTACACTTCTATGTTGCACCTACAATCCTTTCATCCAAAAAGTCTATATAATTCAGGGCTTGTCAAGACTGAACTACATGGAGAAACCTCCTGGGAGCTCAACACATTGCCACTGCAGCATTCCCGGCTCCTGTTGGCCCTATGGGCAGGAAATCAACCAGAGGTGAAAAAAGATCTCTTGGATAGCAGCACAAAATACAGATGCCAGGAAATGAACTGATCTGATAGGATACAGCTTTAATAGATATTTTTGTGCAATATTCTTACAATGACTAATGTTTCCTGAAATGAAACCTACATCAAATCTATACACAGTGTTCTCCAAACTGAAAGATCTAATTATTGGCTCAATTTATTTTTCACATGTCTAAACATTCTTTTAAAGATAACAAAAAAATAGTATATTCTATACACTGAACCCCATTATACAACAGCAAATTCTTCACCTGGACTGACAAATAAAGGAAAGTGAAAAAGAAAGGTAGTATTTCTTACTTGAAACCTGAAGCATAAAAGGTATAAAATGGAATTTTATTCAGAGCTTAGAATTCATTTCTGGCTGCCATAAGTAATCAAAGATGGGTTAAAAAAATTTACAGGTGGCTACAGATTCTCCTCCTAATAAGTATCTAAAACAAAGCACTAAATATGTAATAAAATGTGTTGTTAAATATGTATTTATCATTTTGAGGAAAGACTTTCACACAGCATATAATATATATAGTGTATGGTATACAGTATGGTGTAATTCTTTAGTCAGAATTATTACAGCCTTTGGCTAATAAACTCAAAGACTTATCCAGTGAATCAATGTTTTATTTTTTTGAGTTGGAGTCTCACTCTGTTGCCCAGGCTGGAGTGCAGTGGCACGCTCACGGCCACAGCAGCCTCAACCTGCTGGGTTCAGGTGATCCTTCCACCTCAGCCTTCCAAGTAGCTGGAATTACAGGAGTAAGTCACCACCCCAGCTAATTTTTTGATTCATTGTAAAGACAAAGTCTCACCAAGTTGTCCAGGCTGGTCTCGAACCCCTGATCTCAGGCAATCCTCTCACCTTGGCCTCCCAAAGTGCTGGGATTATAGGCTTGAGTTACCACACCCAATCCAGTGAATCAATTTAATACTTGGGGAACTACTAGTAAGATATCCAATTTATAAACCCATTATGTAAAGAAATAATTGGAAAACATAATTTCTCTTACAAAGGAATTATTGCAAATGGAGTTAATTAATTTGAAAATAAAAGAACTCTATAAATTTCATACCTAAGAACACCACCAGCATCTACCAAGTTCTTCTTTAGCATGTTAAAGGCTTTCTCCTGCTCCATTCTGATTATTTTCCTGTCAATTTTGGGATCTGTAGGAACTCTATATTCAGGAAACTTCTGTACCTTTTTAATGTAAATCCTTGATACAAGGTAAAGAAGAATTTGTTTCATTATATTACAATCTCAAGAAAATCTATCTTATCAACAAGAAGTTTATTTTAAGCATTTAGGTTTAGAGAAAATTTAACCTATCTAGAAAGCACTCTGAGGTTTATGTAAAAAGACATACCATGCTCTCAGTGCACAATACTTAGCAAATTAACAGTAATCACAACTTGAAAAAATACCTAAGTATGCATAGATTTTAACATTTTTTTCCCTAGGATTTGCCTTCCCTCCATTTTCCATGATCACTTCATGCCTGTTACTTTAACAGCCTCTTTGCAGTTTTCTGTGCCTCCAATCTTTCATTATTTATATCCCTTTGATACATCAATAACAAAATAATTCTTCACGTGTATATTCTTCTGTTGAGGAATCTGCCTGTTCTTTAATCAAGTACAAGTTTCAGGGCAGCATTCAAGGTATTCCATTTATTAAATGATTCTGATTTATTTACCTAATTTTACTTTATGTTACTTCAAATAAAAATTTATTTTCCTGTGAAGTTCATCTTCTTTTTTTGAAGTTCATCTTCTTAATGTAACTCTTCTGATACCAAATATGCCATGGCTCCAATTCTTTATTTATATGATTCTCCTAACCTATATCTTTCCTCTAACTCTCTAACCACCTAAATCCAATTTAAACCTCGGCATCCAGGTTAAATTGCACTTTCTTTCCTGCCATGAGTTTCTGTAGATGTATTTCTTCTTTAAATACCTATAATAGGTAGCTAATCCATACATCTCACACTAGATACTACAGTGTCATGTTCTCGACTAGCTTCTTGTTTCCTGATTTGTTTCCTGGGAGTAAGTAAAATTTTATTCCTAGTTTGGTTTCCCTCCTTCCTATGGCACCCAAAAGTAACTTGTAGAACGACAGAGAATAAAATCATTTCTTCAAATATAGAGGTTTTCTCCCAAGCTATACCTAAAGTTTTTATATTGCTTATATTTAAAAAGCAACAGAAAGTTTGTTTCATGGACAGGTTTGAATAATGCCTAAAGTTAACATTATCAGATTAAATATGAAAAGCCTTCTGAATGGGCTTTAAAAGCTTCTTAAGGATTCCAAAGTTTATAATATGAGATGTGATGCTAAAATAAAGTGTTCCAAAAATCAACTAAGTCCAATTACTCCATATTACCTATAAAATTTTATTTTACTTTATAATTTAAAATACTTTCAATATCTTTTTAAAAGTCTTAAATTAAAACACTTTCAATGTCTAAAAAATTATATTAATAATGTAAAGGACATTATAAAATCTTCATTGGTTCATATTTTTCATTCTTACCCAGAGCAATGACTACTTTGTTGTCCTATCTAAAATTTACCATGTTGGTCTCATATATGTCCTATTCTATGTAAAACTTACTGTGTTGGTCTTATAAATTGCTGGTAAATTGGTAGAATCTCTCTAAAAAGCAACTCTGCAATACTTATCAACATTTAAAAAGGATATAACCTTTATCCTAGCAATTTCACTTTTAGGAACTTATCCTGCTGATACACTTGCACAAATATACAAATATATACAATGTTATTAACCACAGCTGCACATATAATAAAGAATAGTTTTCACAGTTTACATATCCATCATCAAGGGACTAATTAAATGATAATTCATCCATAAATGGCTTTTAATATGGCTATTAAAAAGAAAGAAACAATACTTTAATGTACAGATATGGAGTCACCTTTGAGACATATTGGGAATGAAGAAAAGCAAAATACATGTCATTTTCACACTAGTATGCAGCATATCTATGCAGTAGATACCCACTACAGGCATTCAGATCGGGAATGAATCTACGGGAATTCAAGGCAGGAAAGAAGGCACACTACTATCTAACATTAAGGAAAGAAATTATTAGTGAGCTTTACTAAGATTTTCAACAACATTTATAGGAGCAAAGGATGAGATCTAGTTCTCTCTCTCTTTCTCTGCATACACACCACACACACAAACACACACACACACGTGCACGCGCGCATACATACACACATAATATATTTGGCAGATGACTCAAAAATCTAGAAAGTTTTTGCCTTAAAGAGTGTCACAGGAAATATAAATAAGAGAAAACTTAGAATTCACTGTATACTTTTTGACACTGTTTTAACTTGATAAACACATAGATTAGCTATACAAAAATAAGTACTTAAAAGCCAAATAAAAGAAAATAAAAACTTACCGAGCTGGACAAGTGGCTTTGTAGAGCTGACAAGACCTGCTTTCCTGCTCACTGATTTTTTTTAACTGGAAACCTTTCCTCCTTGGCCCATACTGACACTCCATTACCACGGCTCTACTTCCTGTGGGCAAAACCAACTATTGATATTAATGCAAGTGTCTATCTATTACAGACACTAGATTGAAAATAACTTGGGAGCCGGGCTCGGTGGCTCAGCCTGTAATCCCGCGCCTTTGGGAGGCTGAGGTGAGTGGATTGCCTGAGCCTGCAGGTTCGAGACCCGCCTGGGCAGCGAGA